CCGGCGGGACGCCGGGAGGCCGCCTCGCTTCTTCCCGCCTCACCTGCGCCCCGCCGCACCTCCTAGGACGGCTGGTGGAAGCCGGGGTTCCAAAGGCAGGAAGAGGGGTCAGTTTTGACAGTAAAGTGCCTCTGCATGTCCGGAGGGAGAGGACAGTGGACGGAGGCCCCCAGGGAACAAACTGCAGGTGCAGGGCGGAGCCGGGAGGTGCCATGGGGGGGGGCGGGGGACCTCGGTCAGCAGGGGTCAGCCCAGCCCGCCTGCTGGTCTCGGGGGGGGGCGGGGGACCTCGGTCAGCAGGGGTCAGCCCAGCCCGCCTGCTGGTCTCCCATGCCCGGGACAGCGCTTTTGTTCTTAGAAACGGAGTCCCAGAAGTCACGCTGACCATGGGCTTCGCTGCCCCACCAGCCATGGACAGAAGGGAAGAAGCAGCAGGGCAGGCCATCTGTTTCGCCTGTCGTCTGACTTCTCCAGACTCCGGTGACTCGCAGGGAGTAAGGAAAAGGCGCACGTCAGCTGTGCGGCGGCCCTGTGCCGCGGACTCTCGCCCTGCACACAGGCTCCAGGGGGACGCGACGGCCACCTCCGGAGACGCTGGGGTCAGGGCCCAGAGCCCCCCGCCGGGCAGGCCGGTGCCCCCGGAGTCCCGTGTAACTCTCCTGAGAGCAGCTGGGAGGCGCCTGCACGCTGAGGCCGGGGGCCCCACACCCCCAAGGTCAGAGCCAGGCGTCGCGCCAGTCCTGGGTGGTCACTCCTGAAAACAACTTCCCGTTCTTTTTTTAAATATGGATTTATTGATGCACACAGAGCTGGGGTACAGGCCAGAGGTGCGGGGGTGGTGAGAGGGTTCACCAGAGACAGAGTGGGGCGCAGGACAGGCGGGTCGAGGACTTACACTGCGCAGGGGAGCAGCAGGGAGACAGGAGGGGTTGCGGCGCCCCGGGGGATCACTCCCTGGCCCCAGTCGGACTCACGCTGGAGCGCTGCGGCCAGCCTGCAGGGCTGTGTCCCAGCCCGCTGGCCACAGGGAGGGCCCTGATCTCACTCTCAGTTCAGAAATACCGTCCGTTGCTTTGGTGATTCTTTCTCAACTTGAAGATGTGGGATGTCTTCCTCCAAAAATTAGTTTAATTTGAGCTCATTTTCCTTCTAATCCCCACAGAGGCTGAGAAGGACTTTGCCTCCCATTCATGATTTAAAGTACTCAGAAGCAGGTGCTCTGGGAGCCCCGACACGTCCCCGGCCCCACGCACGGAAGACACGCAAGGGCAGCCACGCCCCACGCCCGTGGCACTTAGGGGGGCCCAGAGGTGCTCGGGGGTCCCCGGCCAGAGCCACACAGACGCCTCTGTCCCCTGGGCCAGGGGCGCAGAGCCTAGCCCACCCCGGTCAGAGAGAACCGGGAAGGTGATTGACGGCCCTGAACGTCCTCCACCCGCAGACCCAGCGCCACAGAGCAGCGTTCTGTGAACAGGTTGAGCGGGGAGCCCTCAGTAGGACACGAGAGGGCCAGGCTGCCGCGGTCAGAGGGCCCCTGGACATCAGCAGCCAGGACTGCAAACCGGGGGGAACCAACCGCCTGCCGGGCTGGGGGTGAGCCTGGCCGCCTGGCCCCTCCCCCCCTTCTGCTTCTGCTTCTCCTCCCCCAGCTGGGTTTCGGTTTCCGCGGGTAAGGCTTCCCCTCTAGCACCCCTCGCCGGCGGGTGACCGGGCCTCCGGTGGGGCCAGAAGCCCCGCC